CTTTTTTTTTTAATTAATTTTTTATTTTTTGTGAAAATATACACAACAAAGCATACATCCATTCAACAGTTTTTACATGTACAGTTTATTGGCAGTGGTTACATCCTTCACATTGTGTTACCATACTCCCTGTCTCTGCCCATATTGTTTCACAGCCGTTGACTAAGGCTCTCTGCCCCTTGAAGTTCTCATCTGTGTTTTAGTACTGTTATCCATATAATCTCATATAGACAATTCTTTAAAAAGAGTACAATGCTCAAGGCAAATATTCTTTATTAAATGAGCTAAATTGTTTATTTTAGAGATGATTCGTGGGAAAGTTTTGCTTCAACACTTAAAAGTTGTTTCCAGGCAATAGATTCGGGGGTTTGTCCAGTCTCAATGTATCCAGTAAGTCTAGTTTTTGTAAGAATTTGAAGTTCTCGGTGAGTAGTGTCTGGGGTCTTAAAAGCTTGTGAGCAGCCCTCAAAGATACTCCACTGGTTCCACCTTGTCTGGAGCAACGGAGAATGAAGAAAACCAAAGACATAAGGGAAAGATTAGTCCAAAGGACTAGTGGACCACAACTACCACAGTCTCCACCAGACTGAGTCTGGCACAACTAGATGGTGCCCAGCTACCACCACTGACTGCTCTGACAGAGATCACAATTGAGGGTCCCGGACAGAGCTGGAAAAAATGTAGAGCAAAATTCTAACTCACAAAAAAAGACCAGACTTACTGGTCTGACAGAGACTGGAGAAACCCCAAGAATATGGCTTCTGAACACCCTTTTAATTCAGTACCGAAGTCACTCCTGAGGTTCACCCTTCAGCCAAAGATTAGAGAGGCCCATAAAACGAAATGAGACTAAATGGGCACACCAGCCCAGGGGCAAGGATGAGAAGGCAGGAGGGGACAAGAAAGCTGATAATGGGGAATCTAAGGTCGAAAAGCGGAGATTGTTGAAACTTCCTGGGGTTGGTAACCAATGTTACAAAACAGTATGTATAGTAATTGTTTAATGAGAAGCTAATTTGCTCTGTAAACTTTCTTCTAAAGCACAGTTAAAGATTACAGGAAAAAAAAAAGAGTTTGAAGTTCTTTTCCACATTTTTCCTCCTTTTGATCAAGATGCATCTGTTGGGTCCTTGATCAAAACATTCACTGATGGTAGCTGGGCACCATCTATTTCTTCTGATCTCGTGGCAAAGAAGTAGTAGTCCTTGGAGACAATTTAGACCTGCTGTCCATTTCCTTCTCTGATTCCTGAGTCTCCTGTTTTCCCTGTTGCTCCAGGTAAAGAGACTAATTGTATCTTGGGTGACTGTTTGCAAGGTTTTAAGATCCCAGACACTATTCACTGAATTAGGAGGTAGAGCAGAAACTCTAAAAACAACATTATTGGCCTTCATCTTTTTACAGTTATGATCCCAGCACGTACTCCCCCTTTTGGAGACCCCAGGCCCTGGCCAGACTCTGAACCACAGAGGAGAGGGAAGTAAACTTCATGATTTCTTAGTATGACCCCAAAGCCACAAAGGAAAAGATAGATACATGGGAAATATATCCTGAAGCTAAAAGACATATAGATGGGGAAAATTTTGCAACATGTAAGACAGCCAAGAAAAGAATACACTTAATATATTCTTACTGGTAAAACAAGACAAGAACACTGCAATGGAAAATTGGGCAAAAGACCCAAACAAGCATTTCAAATAAAATGAAATATAAATGGTGAATGAACATGTAAAAATATGTTTACTTAGTAACCAAAGAAATGTAAAATAGAACAATTACGAGGGGTTATTTTTCATAGATTAGCAAAGATGCAAAAGATTACTAATACTCAGGGTTGGTGAGAGTGGGAAAGAGGTACTTATTTACTATTAGGGTACAAATTGGTGCAGCTGTTACAGGGGGGCAGTTTATTAACAAACCTATATTGAAAGTAAAGATGTATATACCTTTTGACCCCCAAATTTTATGTCTTAGAATTGATTTTAAGGAAATAATCAGACTAGTGAAGAAAGATGTGTATGTAAGGATGTTTATTCTTCACTACATTGTTGGTAGTAATTTAAAAAAGAAAAGAGTTCATATCCAGAAAATAAGATCATGTGGTAATTAACAGTGATGACAGAAATCTGTATTTCTTGACCTGGAAATGTCACTGTTAAATGAACAAAGAGGTTACAGAGCAGCATGTGTAGGATGTTCCCACTTGGTAAATCTGTTTTTGTATATGTGCACAGAAAGGTGTGGAATGATATATAATAAAATGTTAACAGTGATTCGTAGTGGATTTAAAATTTCAGTCATTAATCAGGTGGCTATAAATGAAACTGTATTTCTCTGTAATTCTGGCTGATGAGCCTTCAAAACTTCCTATTTCCATCTGAAGGTAGCTCAGGCCCTTCTTTGTTTAATACTCAGTCTCTCTTGGGTAATCAGCCACGGGTCCTCCTTCCCTTTTTCCTGCCCTGTCGTGAGGAGAGGTGTCTGGTGACTGTGCTGTCCCTGGTCGCCCAGGCCTCCGCTGAGGTGTCACTCATCTCACCTGACCTCCACCTTCTTGTGCCAGGGTTGGCTACACAGGCCTGATTTCTGTCATCTCAGCATCCATGAGCTCTGGCACTGCCTGGTTCCCAGCCCTGGGCTCTTTGTTCAGAGCCAGTACTGACCATCTTGTTCAGAGCCACTACTGACTGTCTCTTGGTGGTGGGGTGTGGTTGTTCTCCTATACTATGCTGGGGGACTGGTTTCTGTGAGGCAGTCCTCAGGCCTGTCTGCCTAGGCCCCTCCATAAGGCTGTTTCTTCACCCCTTCTGGTGTCATGGCTTCCCTGAGGGGCTGGTGTTTTTCCCACACTGCACCCTGGAAAGTGTAGAAAAGTAGCCCCTGCTCTTGGGCCCTAATTCCACTTGGGGCCTCTCTTCCCCTACCTTCCTCTGGGGGATGCAGGATGCTGGGTGTTTCTCAGGGACCCTCTGAGTCTTAGCGATGACCAAAACAAAAAACACCAAACCTGTTGCTGTAGAGTCGATTCCAGAGCCTAGATGTCCTCTAGGCATCTAGAACTGCCCCATAGGGATTCCAAGGAGTGGCTGGCGGATTCAAACTGCTGATCTTTCAGTAAGGTGCTATAGTTCTTAACCACTGTGCCACCAGGGTTCCCAGGTATGACCACTTCCTTTTAATTCTTCCCCCCCTACCCACTGGCCAACTCTTGATCACCTTTTGAGTGAAGCATCCTCTTGGATTATCAGGCACTCATTCCCACTATTGTGTTTTGGGATAAACTATTAATGCTTCTCTTCATTCAGACGCTCTCCATCTTTCCAACCAAACTTTTTTTTTTTTTTTTTAATTTAAAACACTCTTTTCTCTCCGATACCTGGGTCTTATAATTGAAACAACGACTTTCAAGACAATAGTCTAGCATAGATTTACCAAAGTGTACTTAAAAGTTTGAAATCAGAAGTCAAAGATTCAACTCTTTCCAAAATATACAGCCTTACTATAGCTGCCCCCAGGGAGTGGTAGGACTATGGTAATTTCTACTATATTTTTTGTTTGTCGTTTCTACGTTTTTGACAATAAACATGTATTTCTTTTATAACAAGAACTATGATGACGAAAGTTATTTTATAAATAAAGGGATACTTCCAGACATTTAGGCCTTGAACTCTAAAGGCTTATTTATTTGGTTTTTGTTGATTTTGATTTTTTTGGTATCCTAATAACCTCATGAAGTCCCTGGGTGGTGCAAATGGTTAATGTGCTCAGCTGCTAACCAAAAAATTGGCAGTTTAACTCCACCCAGAAGCACCTCGGAAGAAAGGCCTGGAGATCTACTTCTGCAAAATCAGCCATTGAAAACCCTATGGAGCACAATTCTACTCTGACACACATGGGGTCGCTGTGAGTCAGAATCAACTCGATGGTAACTGGTGCTGGTGTTGACCTAACAGTGAGTAGCCTCTCTGGGGAAGCGGAGGGTAACAGGTGGGGGTCTAGGTGGAAAGCAGCTGAACGAGAGAGAGGAGATGTGGGCTTCTCTTTCCCTGTCAAGGCCAGAAAGCAACAGTGCGACAGGCCTCTGGCCCAGGTGACCCCAGGGTGAGGCTGTGGCTCCTGCAGAACCTTAAAGGACAGTGTCTTTGTCTTTTTAGTACAAGAAAATAGGATTTTATTAGCATTGTTCCAGGCATTGCGTTACATCGGAACTGATCCCTAGAGTGTACAACCCCAGCTGAGCTTTGAGCTGATAAATCATAACAGAAATAGAATCACCTGGAATTTCAGAGAAGAAATGTTAAGTCCACCTTACAAAAAGATAAAAAGAAAATCCCTTTTGTGTCTCAATAAAGAGGCAGTTCTTAAGCAGCAGAACATTTAAAATATTAAATTCTGCCCAATCACCTTCCCATCATGCTAGAGCGTTGCGGTATCTACTATACCAGACAGGTCCTGATTTTTTAAAAAAGCTTAATTTAATAATTTCCTATGTCTAAGTATTTTGTTTCCATTTTTTATTCTTCCGAATTTTGAACTTCATAAAAATGTTAATGAGATAATTGTAAAAGCCAGTCTCGAGCCCCTGGGGGTCGGTAAGCGAGGCAGGGCCCAGCTTCTACACCACTGGCCTCTTTGGACCAGAGAAGAACTGTGAGGACGTTTCTCCGGAGTGCAGCCTCCAGAGAGGCTGTGAAGCTGGGCTGGGCTTCGTCAGTGTGGCGTGAAGGCTGGGCCGGGGCCAGGTGCCCCTCTCTCAGACCTCCTCCAGAAGGTGCTGCCCTGGCTGTGACTCACACCAGAGGATGAGTGTCTCCGATTTCTAGGCTGTGGTTAGAAGTAAGACAGACAAAGCAATACAGGACTGAGGCTTGTGGTCCGTTGGTTTAAGGCCATTTTGAGGAGAGGGCGTGTGGAGGGCCGAGGAGTAGCGGGCAGGGCAGAGTGAGATTGAGGAAGGGGCTTGTTGGATGGTGAGAGCTCAGGAGGCCTTGGAGACCAGCTCACTCAGCTCCTCCTTTGCAGCTGAGGAAAATGAGGGCCAGAGAGGGGACGGGGTATCTTGCCCAGGGACACACGGCCAGTTGATGGCAGAGTTGGGATCAGAGCGTGGGTCTCCAGTGCCAACCTGCTGCTCTTTGTCCCAACAGGGAGAGAAGGCCCAGCAGTTCTTGGTGCTGGGAGTCCTGGGCAAATGTGACTGTCCTGAGTCTCCTGGATCAGGCAGCCTGGGCAGCTCCCCACCCCTGGGCCTGCCAGCTGTCACTGGTGTGGGAAGGGGTAACATTAAATTGGTCCCTGTGGGATAGGTCTGAGTCGAGTTTACCTGGGTCCTCTCTTTGCCCCCTTCCTTCTGGCAGGAGTTCCAGAACCAGGGCTGGGCTTCCTCTCCCCCACATGTGCAGGCCCTGCCCCATCTCTCTGCCCCCACCAGCACTCACCTGGCTTTGTCTTCTTGTTGGAAGTCAGGGCTGTAGACACACTGGAGAGGGCTGAGCGTGGTTGCACACTCTCCCAGGGCCTGTCCGTATGACAACATGGGGGCTGGAGGCCTTGGCGCCCTCAGCAACCCCCTCCCCACTCCCAGCTCTCAGGAGGATATGAAGCTCCCCTGGGAAGGGGCAGCTTTCACTCCACCTGCTGCCTGTTGGGCACTTGCTGTGACCTCGTAGACCCTTCAGGCCACTCCCCGGGGCCACAGACCTTCTGGGTTTGGAGCCCGAAGGGGTGGGATGCTTACCCCAGAACTCCAACTCTGCACCCCCCTCCCACCTGCCAAGCACACACTGGTCAGTGAACACGCCCTCATCCCATAATGTGCATCAAACCACACTCCTTAAGGCTGCCCCTCCCTTCCCAAATGGTTCCATTCTTGTGTGACTTTTTCTGTACCCCTCTGAGACTGCCCTTTCTATGTTAAGACAGTGCTGGAGAGCACGTCCCAGTTCCGGGCCTGCACATCTGGGCAATGCCCTGAACCCAGGGGATCAGGGCATCTGAAGATCATGGACCAGAGAGGGCGGGGGCCCTGGAAGCTGAGAAAAGTCCTAGGTCAGATGGGAGGGGCGGATATACCTGGCAGGTGGTGTGGGCATCCCAGCCCCTGGACACTAGGGTCAGTAGCTGGGGCGTGTGTTGCTCCACAAATTGCTCACACTGAGGGAGGAGACAGACACACAGAGGTGGGGGGACTCAGGTCAGTCTCATGACTCCTGCCTTGGGGCCCCAGCCTCCCCATTTATCTGGGTCACCCAGGACTACCCCTTCTGACTCTATGTGTAGTTCCAACCATCAGTCCCATTGGCCAGCCCTGGCTATAAGACTCTGAGCTGAGCCGTCAGATGAGCCTGGTAGTGGCTGTCTAGAACCTTCCATTAAGGATTCCAAGGCAATGTGATAGAGTGCTGGGATCGATTAGTGATGCCTGCCATGGATGTGAGAACGATATCAGTATGTGTGCCATGTATTTGCCACCTGTGTTCTAGACAATACCTTATAAAACAAGTAGAACACAACTGGCAATGCAGGATGTTCAAGTGCCTAGGGTGGAGTCATTGAGTGGATGGGTACTCGGGAGTTCTGAGTCCAGAAAGAGAGCATGGGCCAGAGCAGTCAGGGAAGACTTCTTGGTGGAGTGTGATTGACCTGGACTAGAAGAAGCAGTAGGATTTGCTCAGAGGTGTGAAGGAGCTAGAGTGGCTGAAGTGGAGGGTCTCTATAGGAAAAGCTGGGACATTGCAGATGGGGGGCCTTGAGACCCAGGCTGAGGGGCAGAACCTGAGCCACCCTTCTGCCCTGGAATTTCAGTGCTAGAAGGAACTTTAAAGTTCACCTGGACTTTGAGAGCTGGTGTGGTGGGTGGTGAAGAGCCCTGAAGGTTTTTGAGCAGGAAAGCGCCATGCAGTGAGGGGTATTTTAGGAAAGCAATCAGAGGCTGGCCTCAGAGTGCGATCCTACTTGACACAAGAATTTACTATCATCGACTCTGAGTATTGGGAGGGACCCTAGACCTCAAGCCCAGCCCTCTGCTTTTGCAGGCTGCTTGTGCCAAGTGAGTCACACCGTGAGGAGGGCCTGGGCTTGGAACAGGACGGGGACCCTGGACAGAAGGCCGGGCCCTCTCACGGCTCCAGTGGGCCCTGGCATTACTCATCCCCTGGTAGAGAACCACGTCCTTGTTCTTCCTTGCTCCATGTGAAAGTTCTGCTGGCCCTCTGGAACCCCCAATTCTTTGTCCAGAGGCAACTCCTGACCCTTATGGTGTTTTGCCCTGAATTACAGTTCTGCTATTGTCTGACCCACATCCTGTCTGCCTGCCTGTTAGCTCCTCAGGGAAAGGGACCAGCCCACCCTGTGTGTCTCCTGCTGGGAAGCCTTTCCCAGGCTCCATACTCTACCCAAGACCCCCCTGTGCCTGTCCCGCACCTTCTGCCTGTCCAGCCAGGTGCTTTGGCAGGCCTGGAGCACCACCTGCGACGTGGCCTCCTCCGTGCTGTTCCTGACCTGGGAGGTCACAGACATGCAGAGGTGGCACTTGGAGTCTTGCAGCAGCCATTCTCCTGGTGGGGACCCCAGAGTAGCGAGGGCTACAGAGAAAATGGTCCAGACAGCCTTGTCCTCAGTGCATTGCAGAGGGACCAGGAGAGGGCCGTGCAGGTCCAAGGGAGGGACAAGGAGAGTGGACAATAGGCAATCTCACCTGAGCCAAAGCTGTCCACACTGGAGCACCGGAGGATGAAGCCGCAGACCAGCTGGGGCAGCACACGGCTCATCAGGTCGTCCAGCAGGATGGCGGTGTAGCGCTCAGCGAGGCACTGGCAGATGCCGCCCACCACCAGGGGCACCACGTGGCACACCTGGGCCACAGCCACGGGCAGCACACCCTGGGGCGAGGGCAGATAGAGGGCAGGGTGGGACCTTCCCTTGGCCAGGAGCAGCTGGGCATTTTGTAGACTCTCTTGTGCCCCCTTTCATGAGGGAGAACTATGCCGTTCCAGGTGACTCTCCTGGAATCACTAAGGAAGTGCAGGAGCAGGGCCTTGAACCCAGGCAGTCTGACTCCAAAGGCTGTGCAATGCCTACTTGACTCTTGGGTTGCTGAAAGGGGCGGATGGAGCCCAGCCTTCTTATGCTGCACCCAGAGAGACGGGCTCACCAAGGCACACAGCAGCCTGGGCAGAACCAGAACTGGGACCTGTGTCTCCCAGCTCCTGACCTAGACTTGGTCTACCTTCCCACAGGCAGATTAGCTCCTAGCTGTGGAGTCCATGGGTGGTACACATGGGTGGTACAAATGCTGCTAATTGAAAGGTTGGTTTCGGCCCACCCAGAGGTACATCAGAAGAAAGCCCTGCCGATCAACTTCCAAAAACTCAGTCGTTGAAAAGCTAGGGAGCACAGTTCTACTCTGACACACAGGAGTCAGAACTGACTCCACAGCAACTGGTTTGATTTTTTGTTTTGGTTTATGGCTCCTAGAGCCAACATGTCCTTGGTCTCGGGGCCCCAAGGGGAAGCCAAGGGTTTCGCCACCTGGCCCTGATTCCAAAGACAACCTCTGAGCTGAAGGGCAAGAGAGGGGTGGAAAGCACATGGGTTCATTCCTTCACAAATTCATTCACTCAGTCAGTTTGCATGAAGGACCTACCACACAGGCTGGCGTTGGCCCTGCTCCTGCTTGTGGCCCTTGGGCTGCCCCCCAGTGCCAAGGAGGCTGAGGTAGAGGCTGGGCAGAGGGAAGCCTGTTTCTCTGGGGTGTGATACCTTCCATCAGCAAACGAACCCACCTACTTGTACAGGAACCCACAGTCTGCCTCCCTCCTGCTACTCTGGATGAAGGATCTTTGCTCTTTTATCCCCTTTGCCCAGCCCCACCCCACTTCTGCCACCTTCACCAGGGCTTCACCCAGGGTTATCACCTTTCTCTCCTGCCTCATTACCTCCTCCCTTCCGTCCATCAGTCTCATCAGCTTCTATCTTTAAAACACCTCACCCATGTCTGCTACCCTTTGCAGAAAAACTTCTTGTAAGAGTTGTCGATACTTGCTGCTTTCCTTTTTCCCCTCCCATTCTCCCATTGCCCACTCCATTTGGGCTTCTGTCCCCACCGCTTCTCTAAATCAGCCCCCTCATCAAGGTCACCAACAACCTCTGCTCCCAAACCCATGGGCACGTCTTATCTTGCTTCATCTCTCAGTAGCTTTCAGCACCATGACGACTCCCTTCTTCTTGGGACACTTTTTTCTCTTGGCTTCCATGACACCATGCTGCAGCTTCCCCTCACTTCACTGGCTGCTCCTCCTCCGGCTCTTTCATTGGCATTTGATCTGCTTGACTGGTGTGCTCCAGGGCTGCCCTGGGTCTCCTCCATCCCTCCCACACTGTGTCCCTGGGTGATGTTACCCACTCCCCTGGATTTAGATATCTCTATACCCACCAAAAGAGCCCTGGTGGTGCAGTGGTTAAGAGCTCTGCTGCTAACCAAAAGATCGGCAGTTTGAATCCACCAGCCGCTCCTTGGAAACCCTGTGGGGCAGTTCTACTCTGTGCTATAGGGTGGCTATGAGTCAGGATCAACTCGATGGCAGTGGTTTACATCTGTTGAAAGGAGCTCTGGTGGTGCAGTGATTAAAGCTCTTGGCTACTAAATGAAAGGTTGGTGGCTTGAACCCGGTAGCCACTCCGGGGGAAAAAGATGTGGTAGTTTGCTTCCATAAAGATTACAGCCTTGGAAACCCTATAGGGCAGTCCTTAGGGTCACTATGAGTTGGAGTTGACCTGATGGCAAAGGGTTTGAATTTTTTATAGCCATTGAAAACGTTTCGGAGTACAGTTCTACTCTGACGCACATGGGTTTGCCATTAGTAGAAATCCATTTGACGGCAACTGATTGATTACAGCCGGTGACTCTCGAATTGATACCTCTGGATCTGACCTCTCCCCCAAAGCTTGGGCATTCAACTACCTGCTTGACACCCCCTCTTGCATGTCAGATAGGCATCTCAAACTTCACGTGGGCAGGAGAGAACTCATTTTTCTGCCCAAACGTGTTTCTTCCCAAGTTTACCTATCTTATTTGGTGGCATTACCAAGAGCTGTTGGATCGAGCCAAAGTCCACAGAGTCATCATGGGCTCCTCTCTTGTCTTCACTTCCCGTGTCCCATCCACCACCGAGTCCTGTTGAGTCCACCTTCCAAACCTGGTCCTCCCACCAAGCTCCATTTCCCCCGCCACCTCCAGCTCTCGTTTTGATTATTGCAGCAGTCTCGCAATTAACCTCCTTGCTTTCATTCTCGCCTCCCACTTGCCCGATCCATTCTTCAGACCTCAGGAAAGTGATCTCTAAAGTGTAAATCAGAGCATTTATCCCTCTGCTTGAAACCTTTCCATAGCTGTATAATTGCATTTAGAATAAAATTTAGTGTTTCTTAATTTTGCTTACAAATTTCTACCAGGCCCAGCCTTCTCTGGTCTCTCCTCCGCCCACTCTTCTGCTGGCCCACCTGCTCTAGTCACACTGGCCTTCTCTGTTCCTCAAACTTGCTACGTCCATTCTCGATCTAGGCCCTTTGCATGCCATGGCCTTGGTGTCCTCCAGGTCTCAGCTTAATTGTCACCAGCTCAGAGTCTCTTCCTGACCAACCAGCCCAATTCCCAGTCACTGCCCATCTCCTTATCCTGTCTTCACCCTTTGCTCGGCACTCCTCACTCTCTGAACAGCCTCTCGCCCCCTTCAGGGTAAGCTTGGGGAAAGCAGGTACCTGGTCTGCTGCTGGGAGCCCTCAGTGACCAGAAGGCTTGTGGGACCCCATCCAGGAAGGGCTGATGGAGCAGGGCCTATCCTCATTTGGGCCTCATTTCAGGGCAGGGCAGCCCTGGGCTGACCGCCCATGGGCTGATGGTCCCTACAGGTCTGGAAGACTACAAGTTGGGTGCGGGCAGGGGTGGGAAGTCCTGCTGTGGAAGTTTTCCTTTTGAAAAATTAAACAACTTTTCTACAGAGACAGCTGGGGATTTTTCTTCATCAGATGGTGGGCTCCTAGAGGGCAAGGCAGCCTTATCCAGTTTTACACTTCACACCTAGCTTACTGCCTGGCATATACAAAAAAAACGAAAACCAAAAAAACCCCAAACCCATTGCCACTGACTCAATTTCGACTCATAATGACCCTATAGGACAGGGCAGAACTGCTCAATAGGGTTTCCAAGGCTGAAATATTTATGGAAGCAGACTGCACATCTTTCTCTTTTGGAGCAGCTGGTGGGTTTGAACCATCCACCTTTTGTGGCGCAGTGGTTAAGCGCTCAGCTGCTAACCCAAAGTCTGACATTCGCTCTGCCCCATAGTGTTTCCGAGGCTGTAATCTTTCCGGGGAAGCCCTGGTGGCGCAGTGGTTAAGCATTCAGCTGCTAACCAAAATGTCGGCAGGTCGAATCCACCAGCTGCTCCTTGGAAACCGTATAGGGTCGCTATGAGTCGGAATCGACTGGATGGCAATGGAGTGCTGGTAATGTTCATTGAACGAACATTCAACAAGGCATCTACCAGGCCTGAGCCTGAGCCTGGAGTCCTGTGGGTGGGGGCTATGCTCAAACAGCTCTGTCCTAATTGCTGGCAGCCAGCTAGGTGTGGGGGCGTGTGGGGAAGGTGCAGCTGCTGGGGCCCTGCTGAGCTCCGTGTGGGCCTGGACCCCTCACCTTGGGAATCACAGCTTGGATCCGCTTGATCAGAGTCCGGCAGAGCCAGCAGAAGGGTAGGGGAATGGGGAACTCCTGCTCAGAGAGATCCTGGGGAGAGATAATGGATGGAGGCGGGAGTGAAGGCTGGGAGGAGGTATCTGGCTGGGAAGAGGTATCTGACTGAGATGGGCGCTCTGCCTCCCCTGCCTCCTCCTCCCCTCCCGGTCCTGCCTCCGGCCTCAGGAGCTTCTCACCTCCTCCCCTGCTCTGCCCCTAGCCTTCCCTCTCCTCCTGCACAGCCTCTAGTTGGAACCCCAGTGTCATGCCACCTCTCTGACCTCCACTGATCCCTCCTCCCCCACTGTTGGGGCCCCCAGGGGCCCACGTGCTCATGAGCCTTAGCTGTGGCCCTAGCCCTCTGGATCCCATTATCTAGTGAGGGGCCGCTGCCTGGCTTTGTGGGGCCTCACCTGCGTAAGAGGCCCTGTCCCCCTCTGGAAGGTGCTGGGCAGCACGGGGAGGACCAGACTGTCCAGCAGGGGATCCAGTGGCTGTGGCTCCTGCTCTGGCTCAGGAAGCCTGGGTTTGCATAGGCCCAGGTGCTCACAGATGGCCTTTGGGTTCTAGGGTACAATGCAGGGTTAGGACTGGGCAGAGCTGAAGAAGGAAGGGGGGAGCCCCACTCCTGCTCAGACTGGTCCCAGGGCTCAGGGATCAGGGCCATGTCTTTGGGCCTGGAAATGTGGGGAGCTGGCTGGGTGGGGGAGCTGTGGTTTAGAGCTCACGGGGGTCGGGGAGCAAAAGGCAGAGCTGGGGCTGTGTGGGGACTTTGGGGCAGGTGCCTGAATGTATATGAGCTTGAGTTTGTATGTCTGTGAGAATGAGTAAGTGTAAGCCTGTGTGTTTATGTGCGAGAGTGTAATGGTGAGTGTGCAGGTATGGGTTTTGTGTATGGTGTGTGCCTGTCAATGTGCGTGAGTGTGTATACGCATGTGGGCCCGCTGTGTACAGCTGAGCAGGTGGGGCTCTGTCCGGGGTGCCTGGCTGAGGGGCACCCGGTTTCCTGGACACTTTGTGGACAGGGTCTCTGTGTGTGCGTGGGTGTGGCAGGGCTAGGGTGCTGTGGGGCGGGGGGGTGGGGCATGTGCTGGGTGAGCAAGGTCCCATGGCCCTCACGATCTGGCTCTGGAAGTAGTTGACGACCACTGGATAATAGAGGTCGAGCGCGTGGCGGCACCGGGGCACGAGCAGCTTCAGGGGGAGGATGTCACACTGGTGCTCCAGGAACCTCCATATGACGTCCTGGGAGGTGAGGTGGGGGAGCAGGGAGAGAGACAGGGAGGAGGATGCGGGATGCGGTCAGCCCACCCTCTCTGAGTTCTGCCTTGCCTGAATCCTTGGATGCAAGGCCCTAAACTGGCAGACTGACCACCCTTTCCCTAGGACACTGGAATTCAGAGAGTGCCAAGGTATTAAGGAGTTGGGCACATGTAGGGCACCCTCCCACTCAGGAGACACCATCTCTTGGCTGGGGCCCTCTCCTGGCCAGGAGGATCCTGGAGTCTGTCCCAGGTGACCCCGGGCCTCGCCCTGGCCAGGAAGTGTCCCCTTTTGGGGGCTAATCCCTGCCCCTGCTCTGTGTTGGCTCCCAAGCATCACCCAGAATCTGGGCCTCGTCACCTGGAAAATGGCCTTCTTGGTCATCTTGGTGAGGATTTGGACGATCTCCTCACACTCCCGGCACAGGTCATCCTTGGAAAGGGGCCCAGGGTGGGGCACATGAGTGGGGAGCATGCTCCCAGCACCAGCTCACGTGGGTGAGCTGCTCTCAGCAGAGGCTGAAGGGTACTCCAAGGCACAGGTAGCTGCCTGCCATCCCATCCTGCCCCATCCCATACTGTCCTGTCCCACCCCATCTGTCCCATCCCATCCCATCCAGTCCCATCCCATCCCATATTGTCCCATCCCATCCCCATCCTGTCCCATTCCACACTGTCCCATCCCATCCCATCCCATCCCATCCTGTCCCATCCCATCCCATACTGTCCCATCCCATCCCATCCCATCTCAATTCATTCCATCCAATCCCCTCAGGCCCGTTAAGAGTTCCTCCATCCAGACCCCCTAGTCCCCGTGTGACTTTGATTGGTACTCACGGCTCCCACATGTCCCCAGACTTCCTGTAGGCAGTGCCCCAGGGCTCCACACTGCAATGCTTGCTCCAGGCTTTGGCACCAGAACTCAGGGCCCCGGAAACAGGCCAGGGATGTGGAGCTCCCGACAGCTGCTGCTTGGGGCCAGAGCAGCCTTCTCAGTTCAGATTGGGCCACTCCCAGCACCCTGACCTCACCTAAGCCTCAAACTCAACTTTATAGGGAACTGGGATGCATGGCTGTTAAACCTGATGGAGTCGGACAGCTCTGGGTCCCACCTGCTCCAGTAGCCACAAGCTGTGTGACTTTGGACAAGCCCTGGAGCTTCTCTGGGCCTCAGCTTCCTTATCTTTAAACTGGGGATAATGTACAGATTTGGGGGTAACGCCTGGTACAGAGCCAGCGCTCAGAAAGTGGTGGAGATGACTATGAGGCTCCTGTCCTCACCTGCCTCAGGTGCGAGGGAGGTGAGGAGGGCTGGGGACACTCACCAGTGCCTGGGCCACAGAGTGTGGGCAGCAGCAGCAACCATGGCAGCAGGTGTGACTTGGCCATGACACCTTCACAGCCTGGGTGCCCTGCCTGGGGCAGGAGCCCTTATAGCTGGGGTCGGGGGTGTCGGGCGGGGCTTTGTGGGAGCAGCAGCCACCTCAGTGTTTGCCTTTGCCCTGGAGAGCCCTCCAGGGGCTTTGATCCCACCTCTTCCCAGCAATGACCCTCTTGCCTCCCTCCCCGCTCCTCTCCTGGCTGATGCTCTGCTCTTGCTCCCTTTACGCCCCTGTCCTAACTCTCATGGGCCAGGACTCCTGGCTCCCTCCAGTTGAGGTGCTTTATAGCCTCCACATCTGGTCCCATCTCCCTTTCTGGGTGTGAGAGGGAAGCTGAGGCAGGGCCGGGGGCAGCCAGTGGGCCCGCTCCCCCCCCACCCCCAGGACTCCTGGGCTTCCTCCGCTCTTGAGTAATGCCCTTAAGAGCTTCCTGCCTGGCTCTTGACCAAGGGAAAGCACCAGAAGGGCAAGACCAGGACCCTCATGGGACACCTATTTCCCACTCCCTCCCACCTTTTCCCCTGGAAAATCTGGTTCTGTGGACACATAGTTGGCATTAGTCAGAGAGCAGTTACATGGAAACAAAGAGAAAACAAAATACCCCAAGAGCCTGAAATAAGGATGTGGGGGCTCTTGGACAGTTCTGTCCAGAGGATGCTGCTCATGCACCCTTTCAGCCCTGGGGACCCCTCAGGGTAGGGGCTGGGGCACAGCTGATGGTTCAGCCAGGCTCCTGGGGCTGGAGGAAGCATCCTTCCTCTGCATCTGTGGATGCACCCAGGCCAGACCCCCACTGGGCAGGGCACCCTGGGAAACAAGCCCACTGCCTGACCCAGTCATAGGCAGACACCTTCTCGAGTGGAGGGAGCAAAGCATTGGCTGACTCTCATTGTCTTGGAGAACCGTTTACTGAGGGAGCCCCTTCCCTAGGGGACGCTCACAGTCTTCTATAATACAGGAAGCACCCCAATTCTCATGGGATGAGTAAGGCAGGAATTATCATGATGAAAAAAGCGGGCACAGGATGATTAAGCAACACACTCGAGGCCACGTAGGAATTCACGTAGTTTCCATTGGCTCAAAGCCTTTTGTCAGTACGACAAACAGAGTTGCCATCATGGGAGGTGACCAAGAATGCCTATAAATGTCTGACAAAAGATTGAGAACCCAGTGACTTACATACCACCTCAGGAGGCAGAACTAGAATGTGCTTGTAATTTAGTAAGTGGAAAACAGGTGAACCAAATTGTATTTGACTTGGACACAATTCGGACTGACTGGGCAGGAGAATGGGAATCTGTGGATGGCTGCAGTCAAGAGTGTATTGGGCAGGGTAGTCTAACCTCTGTGTCTTAGTCTCCCAGTGCTGCTGTAACAGAAATGACCCAAGTGGGTGACTTTAAAGAACACAAATTTATTTTCTCAGTTTTGGAGGCTAAAAGTCAAAATCAGGGTCTTGGTCACAATGATTCCTTCCTTGTAGACAATCCTCACATGGCATCTTTCTGCCTCTTGTGAGTGCGTTAGTATGTCTGTGCCTAATATGCTGTTTTTATAACTCAGAAGTGATTAGATTTAGAACCCATGCTACTTGGATATGATTGAATTAACATAACAAAGAAAACCCTAATTCCAAACAGGATTACATCTACAGGTATAGGGGTTAAGATTCCAACACGTTTTCTGGGACACAATTTAATCCGTAGCACTCTATAACAACCCATTGCCATCGAGTCGGTTTCGACTCATAGCGACCCTATAGGACAGTGCAGAAACTGCCCCATCATGTTTCCAAGGAGCTGCTGGCGGTTTCGAACTGTCAACCTTTTGATTAGCAGCTGAGCTCTTAACCACTACACCACCAGGGCTCCTCAAACCTCAGTGGCTTGACATAGTAAATGTTGACTTCTCTCTCATGTCACAGTGCAGAGCAGGCTGGCTTCATGGGGGAGAGGCTCTGGTCCATACAGTCATTAAGGGACTCAGTCTCGTTCTTCTACCAGCTCTGCCATCTCCCAGGGCTCAGGACCCTGGAACCTCTGCATCTGGCTGTCAGGGGATGGAAGACAAAGAGTGGAAGATAGTGAGGGAGGCTGTAGGGGTCAGGTCTGGGAGTGGTGGTGGCCATCATTTCTGCCTTCAGTTCATTGGCCAGAACTCAGTCACATGTCCCCACTGAACCACAACGAAGGGTGGGAAATGTAGTCTTCCTGTGTGCCCAGGAAGAAAGGGAAATGGAGTTGGTGAATACATAGCATTGTCTCAAATTCATAACAATGAATGCAAAACTATATATTTACATGTGGTTTTCTAGGTGGAGGGTCCATGACTTCCATCAGATTCTCAAAGGGGATCTGTATGTGCAAACTGCTAAGAACTGCTATCTTAGAGCATGAAGAAGGAAACAAAAAGTGAGACACTAGAAGGGCTGCCCTGGTTTTGGCCTGGGAGAGGGCGTCCTGGCTCACAGTCCCTGTGCTGAGCAATCCCCTAGCTCTTCTTGCTCTGACACCACCCTCACAATACAGTTTCTAATTAAAACTTGGCTTCTGTGGGGCATGGTCAGCCTGCACTGTCCTCCTGGCCCATCTGTTTCTCACTGTAAATAAATGAAGAAATGTTCTGCAGAAAAATACAAAAGAAACCTTTTGGTAGCTATTCCAGGGGATGAGAGCTTGGTTAACTTGAGATTGTGAACAAGAGATGGCTCCCCTATAGGTGTGTGGACAATTTGATATTTCCGAGGGTCAGTTCTTGTGACCAAGCACAGAATACATGCATCCTGCCTAGCACTGCACCCACAGCCCACCATAGGTCTATACTGCACAAGTCTTCTCTCCCCCTACGGCCCTGTCTAGAAACTAAAGCCGACCTTGCCACATTCCTGGAAAGGGAAGCCCTGCAGACCGCCTCCCCCAAAACTGGCCAGAGCTGATTGGACCAGGGGCGGACACTTGACCCAAAGAGAGTCCCTCCATTGGCTGAGTTGAGTCAGTTGCATGAGAGCCATTGACATGGTCTAAGGACTGACTAAAATCAAGTTGATGGTGCATGAGAAGGAAGGTTCTCGACCACTAATGCCAAGTGCCCTGGAGCTGCTCTGGCTCATTCCCGGCCAGAGGCCTGACAGGGCCACTTTTCCTAGGTCCCCATGAGATTTCTCTGAGGCCTTGCTTTTGTAACAGGATAAAAATTATTGCTGTGGAAATGTGCACCGACTCCCATTAGCTCAGCAAAGAGGACCCCATTATTGCCAACTCAGTGCCCCACTTCACCCCCCTCCACCATGGAGAGCTTGTTTCTGTAAAACCAATCCTTAGACCGTGTAGAGGGGCACAAAAGTGGCCAAGAAGTACAGGCTCAGAGGGGTGAGAAGAGGAGGGAAGGGCTGAAGAGAAGGTGACATTAGTCTGCTTAAAAGATAGAGGGAAAGTGCGCATGCATGAGAGAGGGCGAGGCTGAGCTGGAGGTGAGGAAAGTTTTTTTGGTTGTGGCAAATGTGAGGCTCCAACGTATGGGATCAGTGAAGTGTTGTCACGTGTTATATCGTAACATCTCTTTTATATCATTTGAGAGGTACAAGTGAAGAACCTGTTCCTCTTTACTTCCTTTTGTGGTTTTTGGGCTGCATTTCTGTGGCGTTGCCATGAGACTGAACCATCAGGGCCCATGACTTTAATAAGGTTACAAATACACAGCCTCCCCTCTCCCACTCACACTCTTTTTATTTGAATTTACTTGAATGCACTTTCTGTTTTGTGAGAACTCATGGGAAATACAAGGCCACTGTGGGAGGAAGCCTCTGGGTAGACTTTCCTAGCACAATTCCTTTCTTAGATCTTACTTTCTTTCAAAGAAGGAATTTCCCCAGGGGTGGGGAGGTTAGGGAGGTGAGGAGGGGAAGGCAGGGTCTTTGGCAATGAAACTTACAGTTTACAGAGAGCTTTCACTCTCTCATTTGATCAAAAACTGGTTAATGAGCTGGGAGTGGTCACTGCCCTTGTGAATTTAAGGTCTAGTGGGGGCCACAGATCAGTATTCAGAGTAGGGGCACTTCCCCAGACCTGGGGAGGGAGAGAAAGAAGAACCCTTCCAGAGGATAGGACAGCTAAGCAGAGTCCTGAAGGAAGGATAGAAGTTGGCCTAGTAAAGTGGTGGCGTAGGGCAGGGAAAGTGTTCTAGGCAGTGGCAACAGCCTGTGCAAAGGCTTGGGAGAAGAGAGCACGGGGCTGGTATAGGGACTATTTTGTCCCCATTTGATGGGGGAGGCAACTGAGCCCCTCTTTACATATAGTGAGTTCAGAATGGCAGGGAGTTTAGTGGGGAGTAACTGCTAGCCCCAAATCCCTTGGTCTATTTCTGGGCAACCCAAATGGCCCTGGGTCCTGAACATTGGTGAGTACCAGGACTGTCCTCTTTTCTTCCCTCTGTCTCCAGTGCTCAGGCAGCTCTGATGCTAACAGCCAATGGGAGGAGTTGGCAGTGCTAACTCTGACCCTCCTTGAATCCCCTTTTCTTTACTCTGCCCATCACATTTCAACCCATTCCATGTCCCCTTCCCCTACCCCAGGAGCCTGAGTCCATATTGTCCAAATCCAAATTGAACAGGGGACATATTCTTGCCAGGCACAGTGCTGGCCAATGTTGCTATGTGTGTGTTCTGTGACCGAAGGGTCTGGCTATAACAGAGGCCACAGGAAAGAAATGGATTTTGCAAATCAGTGAAGAGTGGGCTCTGAGAAATTGTCTCAGTGGGTGGCATTTGGCGGCAGTATCAGGGATGTCTTCTCTTTACATCTGTCAGCTGCCCCTTCCCTCGGGGCTGTGACTAAAGCTCATTTGCTTCTCCTCCCTGCCAGGAAAGCCCTGTCCCTCGTCTCTAACTGGGCACTCCTCACAGAGGAGATGTGCCTGTCTTGCATTGCCGACTCTCAGTGCCCAGCACCGTGCTGCAGGCATCGTGGCTGCCTAACCACTGACTGCCATTCCCTCGTCCTTGCTAATGGG